CCCGGGGACAACCCCGTGAACTGGTGTGCAGTTGCCAGCATATGCCACCAGACCGTGGATATGTTGTGGCCAAAGCTCTATTACAAGACCACTTTGGAAATCCATACAAAACCGCTACTGCATATATTCAAAAGGCTATGTCATGGCAAAATATAAGAACTGATGACACAAAGGCACTCCAGAGCTATGCCCTCTTTCTTCGAGGCTGCTGTAACATCATGGAGGAGCTTGAGTACATGCAGGAGCTGGATATGCCAGTAAACATGAGGGCTATCCTGGTGAAACTGCCCTACAAACTGAGAGAGAGGTGGCGAACCAGAGCACATGACATTATGGAGTCTACTGGATTCAGAGCTGGATTCCATGACTTGGTGGAATTTATTGAGCGTCAAGTAAAGATTCTTTCTGATCCTTTCTTTGGTGATCTGCAGGACTATAATTTAAGTGTATCAAATCAAAGAACCTTCAAATCGCAACCAGGAAGCGGAATGAAAGGAAATGTGGTGGCCAGCACTGTAACCGAGAATACACATGGAGACGATGGAGAAAGTAGCCAGACACTATCAACCACAGACCAGAACAACCAGAAAAACTGTTTATGCTGCTCTATGGAACATTCACTGGAACACTGCAAGCAGTTCAATGGGAAACGACACGTAGACAAAGTGCTTTTACTGAAAAGAAAGGGAGTGTGTTTTGGCTGCCTTCGACAAGGCCACATCAGCCGTGAGTGTCAAGCGAGGCTTACATGTGAAATCTGTAACCAAAATCATCCTACAGTGCTGCACATAAACCGTCAAACACGTGCCCTGGAAGGTGAAATGGAAACGACGCAAGTACCAACTCCTCACACTACATGTGGACATACAGGGGCCGGAAAGGACCGCACTATGCTACCGGTGCTGCCAGTTCAAGTCAAGGTTGTGAAAGGGAACTGCATAATTCAAACATATGCATTCCTGGATCCAGGTAGTACGGGGACATTTTGTTCGGAAAGGTTGATGCATCGGCTTAATGTAGCTGGAAAACGAACGCACATTCGTCTGCGGACAATGGGTCAGACAAGAAAATGTTCAGCTTTCTCATTGTTCAATCTCGAGGTTGCTGGACTACGTGGCACCCAGTTCTACCCACTTCCAGAAGTCATCACACAGCAACAAATGCCTGTCACCACGCAAGACATGGTTAAATCCGATGATCTGCAAAAATGGCCATATTTGTCACAGGTTCATATGCCATTCATAAATTCAGAGGTTGACTTGTTGATCGGAACCAATGCACACAAGCTACTGGAACCATGGGAGGTAGTTAACAGTCAAGGAAACGGACCATTTGCAGTTAGGACTGTGCTCGGCTGGGTTGTAAATGGCCCATTGGATAGAAACGCAGATCCTAGTATTCAAAGTGTGACTGTGAATAGGATTTCAGTCTGCAAATTGGAGAAACTGCAAGTAAAACAGTACAACTATGATTTTAGTGAGAATGAAGCTGAAAAGCAAGACACATCAATAGAGGATATTAAGTTTATAAAAATGATGGACTTGTCTGCAAAATTACAAGATGGAAAATACTGTGTGAAATTACCTTTCAAAAATAACAATGTCCACTTACCAAACAATCTTGCTGTGGCCAAACAAAGGATACAAAGGTCGAAGAAAAGAATCATGCGTAACCTGGAATTCCACCAGAGAGTAAAATGTAAGCACAAGCAAGCGAGTGGATTGAACGCAAGTCCTGTGGCATATAACACCAAAGGCCGCCCAAACACAGTGGTTGAGCCCACAAGAGTGTGTCTAACGGTGGACGAGGTGGATAATGCAGAATTCTCCATTATACGTTATTGTCAGCGACAGAAATGGAATGAAAAGATCTGGCTTTAGGGTATGTGGTGGACATTATGATCCATCGGCCCACGGGGACCTGGGCCTCTTAGAAGAGTTTTGGAGGTATTCCCAGACAGTCACGGTCTGGTTCGATCCGTGAAACTCAAAACAAAATCAAACGAACTTGAGAAGCCAATAGCCAAACTGTGTCTGGTACATGGCTTTTGAAGTCACAAAATAAAGCAAAATTATTTGTCTCCTTTTTGTTTTTGAAAATGAATTGCCATGACTGTTTACCATGCCAATTAGGGGCCGGTGTATAGGAGCCAAATATGTGTTTTTCTTTGCGTAATTGGTCTTTGTGTCCATGAGGGGGCGCATTCATCTTTTATATGAATCATGAGCGCAGGGTTGAGTGCAGGTGTGACCCAGAAGGGCAAATTGGTTTTTGACCGCACAAGCGGAGTTTGTTTTCCACTGTTTCTCGTGTGATACCACTGTGGATCCCTTTAATAGCACTGTTAAATAAATGAAGATTATTGCATCGTACCCTTTGAAGACTTGGAGGATTTTATTGAGCACAACAGAGCAACCACAGCAGCCGCTTAGCGCGTCATCAACAAGCCTGGGTCTACAGCCTCACACTAGCAGCATTGGGCTGGCTAGTATAATCCTCTTACAGAGACTAGAGGACTGGGTTGGAGTCGCTGGCACCGCCCTAAGTTGGTTTAGGTCTTACCTTGAAGACAGGAAGTACTTTGTGGAGATTGGAAACTGTGTCTCAGATCATATGGCCCTGACCTGTGGAGTACCACAGGGGTCGATCCTGGGACCTCTTCTGTTCAATCTCTACATGCTGCCGTTAGGTCAGTTAATACGCAGAAACAAAGTGTCCTATCATAACTATGCAGACGACACTCAGATCTATGTCTCACTGACTGCAGGAGAACATGGACCAGTGGACTCACTCCTTCACTGTATCCAACAGATCAGTGAGTGGATGCAAAACAACTTCCTTCAGCTAAACGCAGACAAAACTGAAATGATTGTCTTTGGTCCCCAGAAACAAAGAGAGAGCGTCATCTGTCACCTACAGTCTCTCTCCCTAAAACCTTCAAACAAGGTCAGAAATCTAGGGGTAATACTGGACTCGGACTTAAATTTTAATAGCCACATCAAATCAGTAACATCAGCAGCTTTTTACCATCTAAAAAACATTGCCAGGATCAAAAACATAGTGTCTAAAGCAGACTTGGAGATTCTTATCCATGCATTTGTCTCCAGTAGGTTAGACTACTGCAATGGCCTGCTCACAGGTCTGTCCAAACAGGCTGTAAAACAGCTGCAGTACATTCAAAATGCAGCAGCTCCAGTCCTGACTAGAACCAGGAAGTACGACCACATTAGTCCGGTCCTCAGGTCCCTGCACTGGCTTCCTGTGGCTCAGAGAATAGACTTTAAAACAGCTCTGCTTGTGTACAAATCTCTCCATGGCCTCGCACCAAACTATATTAGTGACATGTTAGTCCCATATGAACCAGCCCGGACTCTGAGGAGCACAGGGACTGGACTCCTGCTGGGACCCTGAGGAGCACAGGGACTGGACTCCTGCTGGGACTCTGAGGAGCACAGGGACTGGACTCCTGCTGGGACCCTGAGGAGCACAGGGACTGGACTCCTGCTGGGACTCTGAGGAGCACAGGGACTGGACTCCTGTTAGTGCCCAGAGTCAGAACTAAACATGGGGAGGCTGCTTTTCAGATTCATGCTGCTAAAATCTGGAACAGTCTTCCTGAAGATGTGAGACAGGCCTCCTCTCTGACAATGTTTAAGACAAGGTTGAAAACAGTTCTGTTTAGCTGTGCATACAACTGAGGGATTTTATATTTGTATCTTTTTTTTTTTTTTTTTTTATGTACCGTGATTATTTATGATTTTAATGCTTTCTTGTTCTGTTCAGCACTTTGAATTGCCTTGTGTATGAATTGTGCTATACAAATAAACTTGCCTTGCCTTGCCTTACAGCCTCAGTCCTGGATCTACAGCCTCAGTCCTGGGTCTACAGCCTCAGTCCTGGATCTACAGCCTCAGTCCTGGATCTACAGCCTCAGTCCTGGGTCTACAGCCTCAGTCCTGGATCTACAGCCTCAGTCCTGGATCTACAGCCTCAGTCCTGGGTCTACAGCCTCAGTCCTGGATCTACAGCCTCAGTCCTGGGTCTACAGCCTCAGTCCTGGATCTACAGCCTCAGTCCTGGATCTAAAGCCTCAGTCCTGGGTCTACAGCCTCAGTCCTGGGTCTACAGCCTCAGTCCTGGATCTACAGCCTCAGTCTTGGGTCTACAGCCTCAGTCCTGGGTCTACAGCCTCAGTCCTGGATCTACAGCCTCAGTCCTGGATCTACAGCCTCAGTCCTGGATCTAAGGGCCTCCCCGAGGGTTTTCCCCACAGGAATCTGAGTTGTTCTTTGCCGATGCAGAGGACAGTGAAAGATCCGGGTCATTTAAAGATATTTATGGACATTGTTCAACCCGCTCCCTCTGGACCAATGCTTTGTGTTTTGTTATTATTGCATTTCCTGGGATTGAACTTGATTCTCTGATGTGGAGGAATCAACAACTTTGAAAAGTCCTCTGAGACGACTGCTGTTTAATTTAGAGCTACACAAAAATAAATGAATGTAATTAACTAGGGCTGCAAGAAAAACAAATGGAAAACACGATTTGATTTGAGTGTTTTCATCCGAGCACATTTTAACATGAGAGATGTGAAAATGAGACTCAGAGACCTGTAATAAAGCAAACAGGTCAGAATACATGTAAACTCGTATGAACCTTTTAGCAAGTGCAGCATGAGGAAGAGTCAGTGGTTAAAAAGCCAGACATACTGTAGGAAAATAAAGTGCGTAGGTCCTGAGAAGAAATGGGAGCGGCCTGTGACGATTAACTTTACTGTTTGTTGGAAAACGACGACGAAAAACTGATTAAAGAGGAGTAAAAGTGACTCAATGGGCCTCAATCTCAATGAACTGTGAAGATATTTGTAGTTTTAAAAGCCCAGGGTTAAATAAAAAGTGCGTAGACTGAAACGGGAGCGGCCTGGTCAAAGGTGAAGGAAAATAAAGCTTATAAAGATGTTTTCTTCATCTGAACTAAATATAAACTACTATTCTACTTACGCAGACGTGGCCAGAGACGCGTTCTCCCCAAAAGGATCTTGACGACGCAGGGTTTAGTTGAATCTTTCCAGAGACGGTAAATGTTAACACAGCTTTACTTTCACTTTAGTCTCAGGTGAACAAACTGGTTTTTGTTGGAATCTTTAAATAGATTCGTGGCGTAGTCGGTTATTGCTTTGCTCTGTAGGATCAGAGTTATGTGGTTCGAGTCCAATCAACTCAGAATCAGTTTTACATTTGCAAAGTCAATACATTTAATTAATGGGAATATATGGTTTGTGGTGATTAATGAATCCAGCTAATGAGGTGTTTTCTTCAATTAAACACTTTTTTGTAAAACTGCATTGCTTTATTTAACAATTTATTGTATGTGGGTTGGGTGCTCATAAGTTCTTTGAACTTCAACCTACTCCTTATGAGCAGCAAATACGTCAGTGATATATTTTGTTGTTGTTATATAAATGTATTGTATGTTGCTCAAATAAATCTAATAAACACAATTGACTGGAAGCCTCAAATAGTTCATGAAGCATCATTTCAAACACAACCTGTTTAGACCAAAGACTGTAAATATCAATATCAATATTAGACCCCACCATTCATTGTAAGCACTTAAGAGTGTTATATTTTTGTCCACATGATGGCGTAGTGGAGCATGAATCACCGACCTAGAAATGGATTAAAAGAAAATGGATGGATGTATATAATAGTACAGTGTCCTTTGGCCTGAAATATACATGTTTTTAAAATTACTATTAGATTAGATTCAACTTTATTGTCGTTAAAAAGTGAAATCAAAGCTGGGAAATGCAGTTTATCATCTAACAGCAGCACAATAGGGCAAGTACAGGATCATATTTATCCTCTTGGTTCATAGATGGTTATGTTTTGATGTTTTTACTGCTGCTGGACTTTGGACTTTGGCCTCTGCAGCCCTTTTCACATGTGTCCGCAAATATTTTCATTTCTCACTGCGTTGCAATAATAAGACGGTTTGTTTATTTTCCCCGTTCTCTCCCTCAGGTCAGCACGTCTCCCAGCTGCGTCCGCGCCGCCATGAAGATGCTGTACTGCCCCCTACTGTTCGGGGCAGGTGGCGCTGAAGCCGTGTCAGAACTACTGTCTGAACGTGATGCGCGGCTGCCTCGCCAACCAGGCCGACCTCGACACGGAGTGGAACAACTTCCTCGGTGAGGTTTTCATCATCCGTCTCATGTGGTTGTCAAAGTTTGTTGTGTTTAGTAAAAATCCTCAGAGGAAACTAGATTAAGAAGAGGTCCTGTGTCTGTGCCGCTGAGAGGAAATGTCAGACTGTTGTGATTTAGGGCTGTTCAAGAATACCCCAGCTTTATAATAAATGTTGAAATTACTGATCATTTAGACTATATCTGTGTCTGTCCATAGAAATCTATAACATTAGACTCAATCTCTGATGCAGAAGAACAATAACACTTTTTTTATTTAATTATTTTTTTGTTCTTAAATTCCAATTATTCAGAAATCGTCGCACTGCTGAGCTCTGTCAGATTCAGTATCTGTCTGATCTACATTTGATCTGGCTCCACATTATATTTAACCAGCCCAAACGGCAGTAACTGTGATCTTGTATTTGCTCCTGTTTTCCTTCCAGCTCTGTCTGATAAACTCCATAGAATCAGTGCTTATTGTGTAAAAATCTTGTCCAAACTCGTCCCGTCTTCTCTGTCGTATTGGTTTAAACGGACAGGAAGGAGCGGGGCCTAAACTATGAAGGCCTTTGTGTGGTAAACACTGGAACACATATCGTTTTCATTTGTAGAAACGGAGGAGGATAAAGAGTTGTGGTATTTTAATAAAGATATGTTCTTTATTTTATATGACAAAGTCCACGGATAAAAATCTGTTTCTAGTTTTCCGCTCGGTTGAAATCACCCATCTCTCTCTCTGCTACTGTCAGCTCCTCTGACATCTGCTTTTTGCAAAATCCAGACCTTCAAGGACTCGAAATTGGGTTTAAATGAAAAGCTGTGGCTCCCTCTGGTGGCCATGATGTGTCTCTACTCATTTTCTTCAGCGAATCCACAAATATGTACAAATGAAATGTAAATGATCTAGAAATAAAACAGAATGAGTTGGAATGAATACAGATATGAAATGTTTTGAACTGGACATATAGCGTTGTCTTGAAAACAAATGTTATCAAGACATTATTATTATCACCACAAAAGCCATGTCTGTTTTGTAAAAGTAGCTGTCTGATAGAAAAGGTTGGCGTTCCCTGTTCTAATGTTTCCTGAATGTAATTTTGCAGACGCCATGTTGAACCTGGCCGATCGTCTGGAGGGGCCCTTTAACTTCGAGTCGGTCATGGATCCCATCGACGTGAAGATCTCTGAGGCCATCATGAACATGCAGGAGAACAGCATGCAAGTCTCCCAGAAGGTACCGCCCACTTTTATTATTCAAACCTGTGTACACACATTTCACACACAAAACACCCAAAATAAGTAGTTTCATAATGACATTATAGATATAGACGGTCCAGCAGCAGAAACACATCCATCCACACAAACATCCATAAATAAATCGGTCTTAATGTTATCAACAAGAGTAAATAACACATGTTTAGCTCAGACAGTGTTGTTTGTCTTGTTGTCGTGGCAACAATAGATCTATATGTTCAGGACTTGGATTTTGTGCGTGTTTTGGTCGTTCATGTGGTTACTCTTGTCCCACTCTTTCTCTTGTGTCTCTTCTTTCAGGTGTTCCAGGGTTGTGGGCAGCCCAAACCCAGCATGGCCTTCAGAACCAAGCGATCCATCAAAGAGACGGCGTTTACAGGACGCTTCAGACCCTACAGTCCTGACGCCAGACCCACCACCGCCGCAGGCACCAGCTTAGACCGACTGGTAAGAGCCACCTCCTCTGCTGTTTTCTCACCGTCACTGTCCGTCCCTTTAAATGCTCACTCCATGTGTTTTTGTCAGACGGGGGATGTGAAGAAGAGGCTGAAACATGCTAAAAAGTTCTGGTCCACGCTGCCAGAGACGGTGTGTGCGGGAGAGAGGATCGCCCCCGGAGACGAGTGCTGGAACGGCACCGCCAAAAGCAGGTACGACAAAACTGAACACAAATACAGTTATTCATAAATATACATTTCTAGAATAATTGACTGTTTTTTTTAAAGAGATTGTGAACATATTTTTTTCCTCATAGGGAATCATTTCATATTGAAGTCCAGTAACGAAAGATCTATATATACTGCAAGCTTTATTATTTATGTTGAGCACTATCATAATTTAGAAGAATGTTCAGTAGAAACAGAAAAAGAAAAACAAAGCACAGAAAAAGTGGGAAAAAATTCTTGATGCCTTATCATTGGAAAGAAAGTCTGATTATTGATTTAATTAAATTGAAGTGCAATTAAACATCATTTTTAATGTTTGCTTTTGCCGCACGTGACAAGACCGAAATAATGTGAATGCATAGAAACACATACATTTCTAGTCCATCTATAACCGTAAACCATTTCTTCCTGGGAGGGTGGTTTCGATCGGTGACATTTTAGGTGGTGCTCTTAAATGCATCTGTTGGTCATGTCTCAGTAGGATCCAGTTAAATTAAATCGGACTACAGTGATCTGGTTTTCTCTAGTGCTTTTAAACATACTCTTTGATGATTGGGTGATTAAGTCTAAAATCACACCAGCATTTACACATGACTAACCTTAGTGTTTTTTTATTGACAGATACGAGTCTGTTGTCATCGGCAACGGCCTGGCCAATCAGGTGTCGAACCCGGATGTGGACGTGGACATCACGAAGCCGGACATCGTGATCCGGAGTCAGATGGCGGTGCTGAAGGAGATGACCAGCTGGCTCAAAGCGGCGCACAGCGGCAACGACATCTCCTTTGAGACAGGTGAGGACTTTACACCGTTTAGTCTCATTTCCACACATTTGTTTGAATATAGATATAAAGACGTCACTACAGGTTTCACATCAGTGGCAGAAGGAGAAAATATAACAATGTTTCTATATTTATAATGTGTAAATGGAAAGATTAGTATGTTGTCAGTGGAAACCAGAGATGCAGTTTAGAGTCTGCAGTGTCCTCAGTGTCGCCCAATATTCAATGCTATCTCCTGAAAGAAGTAGAATATCTTTTGTTTTGTTTTATTTTTCAACATCAAACATAACAATCTGGAAAAATAAAAAACTTGCTATGTGCTTGTAAAGAAAGTGTTTCCACCAGAGAAATTGTCAAAACTAATTTTGAGGCAGAAAACAAATCATAGAGTACGGGAGAGAAGTTTGAGACTTGAGCGTTGGCACAGAAGGGACAGGGACACATGGTACTACCAGAAGTTCCTGAAATTAGCATGCACAGATCTGGATGTTCTGGATGAGGGAGAAATGTTGAAACAGGGTTAGAACCTTTTCATATCATTTCATCTCATAAGAAAACATGTTATCTTTTGTGATTACGTGTAAGTAAGAGCCCTGCGAGTCACTATTTGACACTTTGGGCTCAGCCTGATTGACTTTTGACCTTTTCTGTGTAAAAAAGCAGATGTAAAGCTGTGACAGAGGTTAAAACACATGCATGTGAATCAGACCCAACTGTTTTGAGACTCTATAGTTATTACATTTGTCATTGTTGTTGTTGTTTCTCTACGTTTTAATACATGAAGGATTTTCTAACTGAAGGATTTTATCTATTTTTTTATTATTTTAATCCCATGTGATTTGAATGTTTTGTGTATAATGGTGATTTTGGTGTTTGTTTTATGTGAGATTTGTGCCTTGTGTGACTCTATTCCTGAAAAGCGCTGTATAAAACCAATGTATTATTATTATTATTATTATTATTATGATGATGTTGACTGTGAAGCAAATACAGATTGATTGATGTGTGTGTGTTTGTTCTGTCCAGACGAAGAGGCCAGCAGCGGGGACGAGGAGGGGGAGAGCGGCAGCGGCTGTGACCCTCCCTCATGCACTACGGACCAGGACATCTACTTCAGCACCCCCCAGGTCCCGCGCCTCGTCCCAGTGGCAAAGGGACCGTCCGACGCCGCGGCCTCCAGGCGGGGCAGTCTGCTTTTGGCGCTCTCCGCTCTACTCCTGGCTCTGCTCGTCCCTCATTGGAGATAAAAAAAACTACCTGCACAATCCCAGGAATGAACAAAAAAAACTGTCAAGAGAGAAAGACTTTATAAAAGACTGGTATCAAGACTTTGGATAGGGGGCGCTGTTCCTAAATCACTTTTAATTATTGTTTGCTTCTATGGACACAAGTGAAGCCGACCGTAACCCCGTTTTTGTTCACTCCGTCTTTGCTGGACCTGCCTACTTTCGGAAGAGACTTTTTATGGTCTTATTTTGGCAGTTTTATCTCTTGTGCCTTCTTCACTAATTACCAAACAAGCAAAGCCACAAGTGCTCGCGGCCCCAAATGCCGGCTTTCCCGTGTGTTTTGCTTCTTTTGAATGTGCAAAGTGACGTGTACGAAGCTTACAGGGACCATTTGTGACGAATATAGCAGCAGTATTTTGGTAAACCTGAGGATTTAGCTTAGGTCTGCTTACATGCGTATTTTATAACACTAATTCTTTGTTTTAAAATAGCAGTGAGAATCTGGCTCCTGCAGTACAGTAGTAAGTTATACCTCGTGCTCAATATCAATGCAATAGTGATATCAGAGGTACTTAAAGAAGCTATACCCGATTTTTTTTCTAATAGTAGTTCATAAAAATGCTTTTTACTACATACAAGTTGTATCATAATACATAATTTAATTGAAAACTTGAGGTCATTGATTCCACTATGTATGAAATTCAGGCAGTGAAAAGTACTGAGTAGAGTCTGAGCGGGACGTTCTCCTCCACTCACAGAACGAGCAGTGAACGGCCTGCGTCCTCTAGTCTCTACAACCTGTGTCCTCTAGCCTCTACAGCCTGTGTCCTCTAGTCTCTACAGCCTGTGTCCTCTAGTCTCTACAGCCTGTGTCCTCTAGCCTCTACAGCCTGTGTCCTCTAGCCTCTACAGCCTGTGTCCTCTAGTCTCTACAGCCTGTGTCCTCTAGCCTCTACAGCCTGCGTCCTCTAGTCTCTACAGTCTGTGTCCTCTAGTCTCTACAGCCTGTGTCCTCTAGCCTCTACAGCCTGCGTCCTCTAGTCTCTACAGCCTGTGTCCTCTAGTCTCTACAGCCTGCGTCCTCTAGTCTCTACAGCCTGTGTCCTCTAGCCTCTACAGCCTGCGTCCTCTAGTCTCTACAGTCTGCGTCCTCTAGTCTCTACAGCCTGTGTCCTCTAGCCTCTACAGCCTGTGTCCTCTAGTCTCTACAGCCTGCGTCCTCTAGCCTCTACAGCCTGTGTCCTCTAGCCTCTACAGCCTGCGTCCTCTAGTCTCTACAGTCTGTGTCCTCTAGCCTCTACAGCCTGTGTCCTCTAGCCTCTACAGCCTGCGTCCTCTAGTCTCTACAGCCTGTGTCCTCTAGCCTCTACAGCCTGTGTCCTCTAGTCTCTACAGCCTGTGTCCTCTAGCCTCTACAGCCTGCGTCCTCTAGTCTCTACAGCCTGTGTCCTCTAGCCTCTACAGCCTGTGTCCTCTAGTCTCTACAGCCTGTGTCCTCTAGTCTCTACAGCCTGCGTCCTCTAGTCTCTACAGCCTGCGTCCTCTAGTCTCTACAGCCTGTGTCCTCTAGCCTCTACAGCCTGTGTCCTCTAGCCTCTACAGCCTGCGTCCTCTAGTCTCTACAGTCTGCGTCCTCTAGTCTCTACAGCCTGTGTCCTCTAGCCTCTACAGCCTGCGTCCTCTAGTCTCTACAGCCTGCGTCCTCTAGTCTCTACAGCCTGTGTCCTCTAGCCTCTACAGCCTGTGTCCTCTAGCCTCTACAGCCTGCGTCCTCTAGTCTCTACAGCCTGTGTCCTCTAGCCTCTACAGCCTGTGTCCTCTAGCCTCTACAGCCTGTGTCCTCTAGCCTCTACAGCCTGCGTCCTCTAGTCTCTACAGTCTGCGTCCTCTAGTCTCTACAGCCTGCGTCCTCTAGTCTCTACAGCCTGTGTCCTCTAGTCTCTACAGCCTGTGTCCTCTAGCCTCTACAGCCTGCGTCCTCTAGTCTCTACAGCCTGCGTCCTCTTAGTCTCTACAGCCTGCGTCCTCTAGTCTCTACAGTCTGCGTCCTCTAGTCTCTACAGCCTGTGTCCTCTAGCCTCTACAGCCTTTTATCAAGTACATTTGACAGTATTTATTCAATAAGGTCCTCCATAAACGAGTCGCACATTAAAATAGCAGACAGCTAGTAGGTAAATTCAGAAACTAAGTTAAAACCTGGGTATCGTCAAGATATGGTCCAAATTAATATAAATCAAATCAAAATCAAATATATTTACAACTCAAAATCACAGCAAACCAAAACAAAATGGCCGTTGAAAGCAGCCCAAAGAAAGCAAACCCTGGACCACATATTAACATAACCCACTGTACATCGGCCCTGAAGCAATAACTAGGTCCAACTTAACGGGAAAACAAAACAGTGGCTGACTAAAAACTGCAGCAGCATGGGCACTATAAAACAATAGAACAGTGTATACAAGAATACAAGAAAAGTTTATAAAACACAACATTCACATATCTAAGAATAAATACCTTTGCACAAATGTTCACCATTATTAAATGCTACTACAATCAGTTGAGGCCTGCAGGTAGCTGGGATCTAAATGGACATTGAGAGTATTACTTTAATGTTGAATGTAATAAAGTCTCTACTTTAGTTCATTCAACTGGGATTTACCTTTTAGTTTAGAGTCAGTAACCAGTGCATCAGTCCATACATGCAGAGATCTGCTGGTGGCTGGAAACTTTATAATTCAGTCTGCACATCCAGGTCAGTGCTCTCAGTAGTAGGCCAAAGTGAAAAGACAGAGATTTACCACTCTGCCCTCTTTAAAACCTTAGCCCCTCCCACCAACTTCCTGTTTCCTCCTCTACCCTTTCACATTCATCCCCACTTTGTGAGTTCACCGTCCCGGTGACAACATACAATCAAGAGCGGTGACTACTCAATACCAGGGAAGCATTTGGCTTAAATCAATGCATTGGGACGCGGCAATTTGAACGGGTTAGAGTGCTGTCCAGCGGTAGCCCTATTTGAACGTCTAGCTTCAAGAGGAGGGCTGGCCGGGGCCATATCCCTTGCAGGGGCTGGTGGAGGCCCAGGGGCATGGGTTGGTGCAATGTCTGCTGTGTTGTCCAACTCTGTTGGTATCGGTTGGGGTCTGTCTGGTGGCCACTGAACCATGACTACACTGCCCATTTCACTATCCTCCTCCAATACGGGGGCACCAGCTGATGCACATGGAGAAAGTGACTTAGGTGATGCAGGATTTGGCAACATTGGACAAGTAGGAGGGTAAACTTTAATTTCTGTTCGACTGACATTCGTCTCAGGGCCGAGCTTGTCCACTGGTCTGATTTTATAGACTCGTCCTTTATCATCCAAACAATTGATAATCTCAAAAATTGTATTGTCCCAGGCATCCTGAATCTTGTTTCGTCCAAGAGGATGACTCCTTTTCAATACAAAAGTTCCTGAGGGTAGGACCTCTGTTACATTAGGGAAGTGCTGCCTGTTTCTGCGCTCAGCAGCGATTTGTAGTTGATCCTTTGCATGTCTGTAAGCTGTGCTTAGCCGAGTTTGGTGCTCAACTATCCAATCCTTCATGCAACCAGAATTTACATGTTCAGTAGTGCCCAGTAAGAAATCTACGGGTAAATTTGGCTTTTGTCCAAACATTAATTCGTGTGGCGAGTACCCAGTAGAGGCATGTTCAGTAGTATTATAGGCCAAAAGCAATTGGGGTAAATGCTGTGGCCATTTCCGTTTCTGTTCTGGTGGGAGGGTACGGAGCAGGTCATGGAGAGTGCGGTTAAACCTCTCACACTGCCCATTACCCTCTGGGTGGTATGACGTAGTACGAGATTTCTCAACTCTATATAGTTTGCAAAGCTGCCTAATTAGGTCTCCCTCAAAATTCCTACCCTGATCACTGTGTATACGTTTTGGAACGCCATAAGTGCAAAACCACTTTTCTGTTAGAATCTTGGCTGTCGTACTTGCCCTTTGGTCAGAAGCTGGGAAGGCTTGAGTGAATTTGGAGAATACATCTGTGACCACAAGGACATTTTCCCTCCCATCAGTTGCTTTCTCTAAGAGTGTGAAATCAACAGCAATCATTTCCAGGGGATGAGAAGCCACAATATTTGCAGGAAATGTTCTGATCTTTGGTTGATTAGCTTTAGCCAGCACACATCGTACACAATTAAGGCAATAGTTCTCGACCTCTCTCCACATATTTGGCCAAAAACACCGCTCTCTCACCAACTGCAGGGTGCGCTCAACCCCCTGGTGTCCATGATCGTCATGGAGTTGTTTAAGCACCTCTGCTTTGAGACATTCAGGAAGGAGCACTTGAAAAATGTCTCTCCCCGTCTTAGGTGGTCTATAACGACGATACAACACACCCTCTCTCATGCAAAGTCTTTGCCATTGCTGGACAAGTTTGTTCAATTCTTTGGGCTCCTTCATTAGTTCTTGTTTAGATGGGTGCTTCGCTCGTTGCCAGTAGACTCTAAATGCACCTAATACTTTGTCTGCCTCCTGTAGAGTTTTTAAATCAGTTTTATTCCGCACAGGAAAAGCTTGGATTGCTGATGCCGTTGCAGGGACTTGCAAGGGAACGAGGCTTTGAATGGTACAAGGCACTTTGACACCTGGGCTGAAGAGAAATTGAGCAGGGCATGGGTGCTGTCGTGAGAGTGCGTCCGCATTCCTGTTAGCTGTACCAGGACGATATTTAATTTCGAAATTGAACGCAGCCAGCTCGGACACCCAACGTTGTTCTACAGCCCCAAGTTTAGCTGTGGTTAAGTAACTCAAAGGGTTATTGTCGGTATAAACTATGAAGTTATTCCCCAACAAGTATTCCCTGAATTTATCCGTTACTGCCCATTTGAGAGCTAACAGCTCAAGTTTTCTAGAGCTGTAGTTCGACATATTTCTTTGTGGTTGTCTAAGACCTCTGCTAGCAAAAGCAATGGGTCTTCTTTGGCCATCCTGATCCTGTGATAAAACTGCGCCCAGTCCTGCGTGGCTTGCGTCGATTTCTAGCACAAAAGCTTTAGTAAAATCTGCATAGGCCAAGACAGGCGCACTGACAAGCTTGTGTTTTAAGGACTGGAAACCATGCTCACAGTCATCATTCCACTTATCAACAAGAGAGGATTTGCCATTACCCTTGGGTTTGTGCTTACTTCCGACCACCTCTGCGACAAGCCGATGTAAGGGGGCTGCAAATCTAGAGAACCCCTCGACAAATCTACGATAGTATGACGTAAACCCCAGAAAGGATTGGAGCTCAGTTGCACTGGTTGGCCGTTTCCACTGTCCAACAACGTTGATTTTCTCGGGGTCGGTGGCCACACCCTTGGATGATACACAATGCCCCAGATATTTGACTTCCCTTTGAAAAAACTGACATTTTTTAAATTTCAACTTAAGGTTGTGTTCTTGTAAGCGAGCTAAAACCAATTCAAGTCGTTGTAAGTGATCATGGAAAGAAGATGAAAAAATGATTATGTCATCCAGATACAGTAAAAGTGATTGGAAGGACTGGTCACCAAAGATGCGTTCCATTAAACGTTGAAACGTGCTGGGTGCATTACACAACCCGAAGGGCATTCTGTTGAACTCAAAAAGCCCAAAAGGGGTGCAGAAGGCAGTTTTGGCTTTGTCTTTTTCAGCAACAGGCACCTGATTGTATCCACTTGCTAAGTCAAGCGTAGAAAACCACCTGGCTCCGCCCAAGGCATCCAAGGACTCTTCAATCCTTGGGAGCGGATATGCATCCTTTCTTGTCTTAGCATTAAGGAGTCTGTAGTCCACACATAGTCTAATGTTCCCATCCTTTTTCAGGACAACAACAATGGGGGACGCGTTGGGACTGCAACTTTGCTGGATGACACCACTATTTAAAAGCTCCTGAATATGGGCTTTAACCTGCTCATACTGTGATGGGGGGAGTCTCCTATACCTCTGACGAATAGGAGCATCATCTATCAAGGGGACCTCATGTTCCACTAAATTTGTACAGCCCAAGTCCCCTTCCCCTTTGCTAAAAACAGTTGCATATTTAGCCAACAGTGCCTTTCCCTGTTTCTCTTCCTCTGACGATAGTATAGGCCATGATGCACTGGTGATGTTAAAATCAGCACTATCAGTGGCAAAAGAGGATTGGATCACTGCTACATGGCCTCCGCTATGTTCATCCACAATCACTGAACATGAGAATGACTGGGTCTGAACGACATGTAACGAGCCCAGGGCAGTGTGGGGTCTGAGCCAGACATCATTTGAGCCCACATTTACAACAGGTACTTCCACAATCCCTCTCTGCACTGTCAAAAGAGCCTTAGAGACCAGTACTCCTGATGGGAGGCGGCTGTTGTCCAGGGGCTCCAACAACACTGAGGGAAAAGTGGCAAGAGCAGACCTTGGACAGACAATGGATACGAACTTCAAGGAGCCAGCTGGGATGCAAACGGTACGACTGGTGACTTTGGCTATTCCCAGGTACCCCTCATCATTAAGGCACTCAATAGAGTGACACTGCGTTAAAGCCTCTTTCCAACCAGGACTAGCAGATTTCAATGGTGGGGCGTTAAAAAGGTCAGGCCCAAGCTGAACAAACAGCTCATGGTAAAAAGGCCTTATTATGTTCATGCCAAGCAACCCAGGGACCGCTCTTTTTTTCTCTTTGAGGTGACTGTCTGTGGGGCTTTTCACTACTAACACTCCAATCCGGGGGAGATTCTTGCTCAGGACATTGATATCCAGTTCCAAGTAACCGATATAAGGGATGCCCAACCCATTAGCCGCTTTTAACTGTAACCAATTGCACTGACGCAACTTGGCCTCGCCCTGCGACTGAAAATGTTCAACAAATAATTCTTCAGTGATAGTAGAGACCATAGAGCCTGTATCTAGTAAGCAGGGAACATTTATTCCTCCCATGTTTACCTCCACCACAGGACATTCACTCATTAGTTCAGGTACACGTGCATGTTGGTTACTTGAGCCTGAGCTCCCCCCTCCAGGTGTTAGGCTCTCCACACCAGAGGGCGTCAGTTTTCCTGCGGCCAAAAATCTATTTCCGCTGCATCATTACTTTGCACTGTGGCCTGAAGCCCTCCTTTTCTGTTTGTATTGACAGAACCCTATTGCAGCGTAAACAGATAGGTTTACCATTGGGATCAAAACGATAGGGTTTTTCTCTTTGTTCCTTTCTCTGTGGGACCTGGGGAGTACTTAGGCCGATATGCTTCATAATGGCATCTAATTGAGCTTGTTGCTTTAATAGACACTCTTTTAGGTCCTTAATTTCAGAGGAGGGTGGGACGGACACTGAGTTTGTCTCTACCAGTACAGTATCTCTGGAGTCAGAGTACACATTACAGGAGAAAGCACGTGGTCTCTGCTTACTCAAATTTTGGCCCTCTTCTGCCCACTTTATGGCCACACCACGCAAGGCAGTAAATGAGATGGTACTGTCTTGACCAATCTGCCGCCTGAGTTCTCGCCTTAACATGTCATCATGAACTTGTTCCACAAATTGGTCGCGCAAAATTTGGTCAGAATTCAGGACACCACCTGGTGTTTTTTGAACAACAATGTCCATAAGTAACTTGAGGGCATGTGAAAATTCCCTAAGGGTTTCACCTTCTTTCTGGTTACGCTGAAAAAATTGTAACTGTGCAGTGACATAAGATTTAGAACAGCTATAATTGTCACGAAGAATAGCAAATATTTTTTCTGGTGTATCTCTATCAGCTTGGTCATGAAATTCAAGTTCAGCTCTAGCACTCCCCTCTACATGGTCAAACAAAAAAAGAATTTGTTCAGACTGGGACATGTACCTTGCGGTTATGCACCTGCGGGCCTCCTCTATCCAGTTTTCTACAGTTATTAAATCAACAGACATTTTTCCCGAAAATTTTGAACATTTACGCTCTCTTGGAACATACAAAAACTGGGTTTGTCCAGACACAGGCAACACATTGACATTTGTTGAAGCCGAAGTTGAAGCACTGGCTTCACTATTCTGCGTAGTACTTTGACTGGCCATTTGAGACCTCAACCGTTCATTCTCGGCCTGAAGCTGTTGTACCTGGTTCAAAATGGTTTGAATGTCCTCCATAGCTTCCAACAGTCTTTAGTGTTGTAGACTCGAGTGTCCTGAAGATGGGTCCCCGTGGATCTTGATTGTAGATGCCAGCCACTGTTTTGTTTTGTTTTTCCCTTCACCAACTAGTCTATGGGCCACTATTACCTCAAAGTCTCTTTATCCTGTTCAGCAACGCCAAGTGTGACCAAGTGTCTAATATAATAAAACCATAAGAGACTTTATCAAGTACATTTGACAGTATTTATTCAATAAGGCTCCATAAACGAGTCGCACATTAAAATAGCAGACAGCTAGTAGGTAAATTCAGAAACTAAGTTAAAACCTGGGTATCGTCAAGATATGGTCCAAATTAATATAAATCAAATCAAAATCAAATATATTTACAACTCAAAATCACAGCAAACCAAAACAAAATGGCCGTTGAAAGCAGCCCAAAGAAAGCAAACCCTGGACCACATATTAACATAACCCACTGTACATCGGCCCTGAAGCAATAACTAGGTCCAACTTACGGGAAAACAAAACAGTGACTGACTAAAAACTGCAGCAGCATGGGCACTATAAAACAATAGAACAGTGTATACAAGAATACAAGAAAAGTTTATAAAACACAACATTCACATATCTAAGAATAAATACCTTTGCACAAATGTTCACCATTATTAAATGCTACTACAATCAGTTGAGGCCTGCAGGTAGCTGGGATCTAAATGGACATTGAGAGTATTACTTTAATGTTGAATGTAATAAAGTCTCTACTTTAGTTCATTCAACTGGTTCATTGTGTTCTCGTCAATTAACATGTGGATTAGTCGGGAGAAGGTGAAAGCCAGCATGCCTCAAAGATTTGTGAAGCGCTCTCCAAATGTGCGTGTCATCCTGGACTGCACAGAAGTTGCTTTAGAGGGGGCATCATCACTAACTTTACAGTCTGAAACCTTCTCTGCGTACAAGAACCGCACCACTCTGAAAGGGCTGATCGGAGTTGCTCCCAATGGGTTGGTGACGTTTATATCACAGCTGTACACTGGCTGCATCTCCGACAAAGAGATCACTAAAATCAGTGGAATTCTTCCGCTGCTGGAGCCAGGAGATGAAGTCATGGCAGATAAGGGCTTCCTCATTCAAGACCTCCTTGATGAAGTTGGGGCCAAACTCACAATGCCACCTTTTCGACATCCTGGTCAGTTTAGCAAGAGAGAGACTGAGGAGACCCAAGCCATTGCTCGTCTGAGAATTATTGTCGAACAGGCAATAGCCAGAATCAAGCACTACCACATCTGGGATTCTCCTGTGCCACTCACTTTAATAGGAACCGTCAATCAGATCTGGCACAACTGTTGTGTTTTGGCTAATTATCAAGGCCCATTTTGTTTGGAAGAATAAATGTTTCATCTAAATCTTCTATGTGTCTGTTTCAGTGTACATATTTTTTGAGATGTTTATTCCCCATTTTAAAACACACTTGGGCAGAATTCAGTATTTTTTGTTTTGTTATTGTGGCTTGATTGTGTTGAATTGCAAGGGAAAACAGGTGAAACAAATAGCAAGTGATAGTGGATTATGTTGAAAATGAAATATGTAATTCTCAAATCATTTCATTTGTAACAAAACAAGGCTGGAAATATTTTTTTATAAATCATACAGGAAATAAAATAAGCACATTAGTCTAGTTTTGGAAAACTTATACCTCATCAACTTCCTTTCAGCTGCAGGCACAGGTCATTAAGACTAGGCCAATTTCATGTTTTGTTTTGCTATGCATATATTCAATTTTTGTGACAGATATTTACAATGATCAAAAAAAAGGGAATGAACAAAAAAGGGGATTTGTGAATCATTAGTTACTGTATTGCATTGACATAAACACATTCATAAAGGTGGTAAAGTAAAACATGTCCAATTTTGACTTCATCTGGTCAATGAAAGATTCATCCCGCCACACTCGCTCTACTGTTATAGTTGTCAGTGTGTCTGTGACAAAGTCGCACCATTCCAGCCCTGTGATTGCCAGCTGACCCTGTACTTGCCAGTAGTACGCATATGAGTGCCTCACATTTGCAGAGCCATCCTGAACCTTAAGGTGAGACACCTGGGACACATCATTTTTGGTACTACATTTAACCTCTACCAGTCCAAACGGGGGTGATTCTGATGGATCATACACCCTGCCATCAGGACTTGCCCCAAGATGTGGTGCCTCGGGGTGAATGATAAATCCCACAGGGAGTACATTAACACTCATCAGCTCAGCATAGTTCGCCAGCACCTCGAGCTCCATCTGCAGACCGCGCTTCATTGCAGCTGTTTGTTTTGTGAACCCCCTGATCATCCTAGCTGCATGTACTGTGGCTACAGACTCCTCCTCAGCACTTCCTTTACAAGCATCCCGGAAACGGCTAGCTGTAAGCCTTGGCTGGCGAAGCTGTACCCATGCAGGACATCTGGACTGCTCCCTGGTTGCAGCTTCTATTTTTGAAGACGTATCCAGAGACAGTTGCAGAGACTGAAGATACCTAAGTTGACCAAGAGTAGGCACAAAACACATGTTTGTAAGACTGTGAAACATCAAAGGAAGAGCAGGGAAGTCTGGAGCTGTGTGGTGTATAATGATGACGTCGCAGGACTTCTCAGGTGGGCACTGGTAAGACATTGGTGAGCCTCGAGGCACAGGCCCAAATTTGGACGGAACCAGCTCCAAAGTTGAGAGACCTTCTAAAACAAGAGCTATGAGTGGCGGGGACTCCAGCTGGCGTAATTTCTCTCCCGATGCGATGATGTCGGGGTCAGGAAGTGGTCCTACAAACACATGAGTGACAAATCTCAATAACTTATGACAAAGGAAACATTCCAGATTTATTTATTTATATATATATATTATATATATTTATTAAATAATATATATAATTTACAGACAGATTATGAAAACATTGACACTCAATAAATTATACCTGGGAAAGCTCTGTAGAGTGTAGACTGCAGACATCGTTTCCCCACAGTTTTGGGCTTTCGCACTATGACTTTGCTGGCAGGTTCAGGGTGGATCCCCTTACAAGAAATAAAAACAGAAAAATAGATTTTGTTAACATGACATTTATATATATATTAGAGATAGATAGATAGCTTAATTATATTATTCTTAAAGTAGTTACGAAAATTGCATACCAAATGATTATGCAATAGAAAAGAGTTGAGCAAATTACTTGTTTATTTATTTACCTGTGTTCTTGGCCTGTGCCATCTTTGTAGATCACTCGTACATGCCAGGGCAGGAGGAACAGCTGGTAGCTGGAGCTGGGAGTAGTGTGCAGTCTGATAAAGAAGTGCAACTACATGGTTGCAAAAACCTTTACCTGCTGCACAACTACAAGAATGAGCCAACAGCTCAGCCTTTTCAGCACCCAGTGAGATCTAAAGCAGAGAAGTAGTTTTAGAACGGACATAGTTATTACTTGTTATAACTTATCTTATAAAGACAAGAGATTGTAGTTTAGATTTGCTGCAACAGCAGCAGTACATAGAAAAGCCTATGCTGCAACAGCAGCAGAAGAGAAATAGTAACCACCAAACAGAAAGATGCGAGTATAGGCTCTCAGTTTTACTGGAACTGTCCATCCGATGTGAACGTTCTTCAGCTGTCATCTGTCAGCGACTCAAGAACTCAAAGCTGAACAAGCCAACCGGCTTTCTGACTTTCAAACCTGCAGTCTGTGCGTCTCCTCATTTCTCCTCATGGACCTGAAGCATTTAGCTCTGACCACTACCTTTCCCTCGACAATATTTGATACTATAAGTATGCAGAAACAAAGCACAATTTAATGGTTAAGGTACATCTAGCATCATCATGTAAAAACTAACATTTAGCATGTTTGCTTTCATAAATAAGAAATGAAAAACACATATCATAATGTTCTAATATAATTGGAAATTCTATACCATGTCTCCATTCAAATTTCGAATAATTTAGCACACAAATTAGGCGTCTGTATTACATATTTATGTGCTTCAAGTGTCGTAGCTAGCGTAGCTGTAAGTTGATAAGTCTTACCTTGATAGTCGTGTAAATATTCTTCATGAAAGAATTTATACCCCTTATCCCGTTTATCTGTTTTTGAATTCGCTGCTGCAATTGCTTCCGCAGCAGCGAATGAAAAAGCTGGCAAACAGAGTAGTGTTGGTGAAAATATTAGAGCCATTTCTCTATCATAGACTGTATACAAACGGTGCAAACCGGGAGTGACTCAGCGCTGCGAGGCGGCACTTCCGGTTATCGTGAAAAAGGTCTATATAAAACCCTGTATTAAAATAATCTTTTTTTCTTTTTATCAACACACTGCCTTTTGTTCCACATTTAAAACATACACACAGCGCCCCTGTAAGACTTTGCATAGCATATAGTCACCACTAGGGGGAGTCCAACACCAGCTTTTGCCCATTTCACAGGACCACATCTTGCCTTATTTAAAGGCGCTATACCCGTTTCTGCAAGGTTTGAATGCTCAATGGCTTCTCATTTCCCCTGCGCTCTCATAACACGGAGCCATCTATCTCAATTTGCGATCTGACATGTATGCTAACATTAGCATTAGCGCAACTTCTTGTAAGCTGTACAACAATCACTGATGAAATGGTACTAAAGCAACGCACTGCTGACACAATATATAGGTAAAAGAATACTGATAGTTTTGCATGCAAATGTATTCATTTAAACATTAGAATATATTCTAATATTTAATTATAATTTATTATACAGCTCCTCACAGCAGCAGTAGAACACGCCATTGACTTGAATGTAATTATACTGATATTTTTTTCTTGATAACAGAACCAATAATGACCGCTGCCCTTTGGCAATGCAATCTCTGTTTGTAATTCAGGTGTGTAATATCCTGCCATTACTCTGCAAGTACGGGAGAAGCTAGCGGAGCTAGCCACGCTCAATAAACAAATACATATCAATCAATCAACACCATTAAATGTTAATCGGACAATACAGCATACATATACATCCTTAACACACATGCACGGACGTTTTCAGAATTTGTTGTTATCGTTTTCATGACATAATTACAATTTTTATGTGACCAAAAGCAATCGAGAAAAACCCGGAAGTAACCGTTGACATGTAGTTCCAGGGAGCTAGCTAGCTTAGCTGTTACCTGCCTAGCACGTCCCGATGAAACCTTTGGGAGCTATCGGCAGTCATTGAATACATTTCGAGTTATAAGGGCTGTCTAATATTTGTTCAAATATATATACATATTTTAAATTTTAGAATTTTATTCTAACTTTGAAGTTGAAGCTCTAGTGTTTAGCAGCGCTGTAGAGGCTAGAGGATGCAGGCTGTTCACTGCTCGTTCTGTGAGTGGAGGAGAAAGAGCGTCCCGCTCAGACTCTATTCAGTACTTTTCACTGCTTGTATTCATACACATCTGAATCAATGACCTCAAGTTTTCAATTAAATTACAGATTATAATACAACTTGTATGTAGTAATAAGCATTTTTATGAACTACTTACAACAAAATCGGGTATAGATTCTTTAATAAATAGAAAATGTGTTGAACGCAAAAGTACACGGACCCGAGACGATGGAAATGTACTAAAAACATACATACATATTTTTCAATAAAATAAATGATATTTTTTGCCGAAATGTATATCAGTTTGGTATTTTATCTGACATTTTCATATCCACAAACTATTTGACTAACCCTGCTCAAAGTCTTTAATAAGGTGATTCACACAGACCCATGTTTTTTGATCCAGACAACAGGGAAAGGTTAGAATCTTGTTTGGACCTGTGTCGGGCTTTCACCACAGGGAAGACAGGAATGTTTCCATGGCAACGCCATCACACTGTTCTATTTCTCTGGTTGGAACTCAGCCAGGGTGTCATAGCAACCATCTCGCCATGGCGATATGATTTCACTTAGAATGCGATGATCTCATCGCCTGACAGAGAATTCCATAGTCTGTGTGTCCACTGGAGACTGGGGTTACACCAGTGGATAAAGTTACTTCAGAAGCTGTGAAGTTACAGCAGATTTTCCTTCCTTACCGTTAAGGATAGTTTAACCATATGTGAGCATAGTTTAACCATATGTGAGTAATATTGTACGTGTCAAGGACCTTATAACTTTTGTACTTCCATAGCAAGCGAAATGCATAAACACAAAGCGAATAGCGCTATTAATGCCATTGGAGGAAAAAATAGTTATTTATCCCCTAGAACTTTGCCCCCTATAGAGCATCCCCCTAAAGCAGTGACAGCTAAAACCATAGCTATGCCTGCCCTAAACCGGCCCCCTAAAACTTTGCCCCCTCTAAATATTTCCCATAAACCGTTGCCCACATCTGCATCGTCCTCTGCAGATATTCCCCCTTTAGATATGAAACCATTACAACCGAAAATCGCACATTTGGGGATCGAGATGGAGGGGTACAAGGCCACTCTTCTCACCAAAGACCAGCAGGTGGCCTCCCTTCAGAAAGAACTGAAAAAGTCCTATGCAACCATCAGGGAGTGGGAAGAGTTTTACAAAAAGTCTTTTCCAGCTAAAATTACCCCTGAAAATGCAGAGTTCTATGAGTGGAAATTGCAACAAATGAAGGAAAAGAGAATCATAGATGAACAGAATCACAATAATCGAGTGTTGGCGGATTTAGAGAAATATAATGAAAACCAGGACAAGTTGAAGAAGATTATTGAAGATCTAACAAAGAAGTTGGACGCATCTCAGGCGGATCTGGATGTAACTTGCTCCAGAGAAAGAGATACGCAGATGTCTTTAAACAAAGCCATGGGAAAAATCCAAGAGTATGAAAAGGTAGTCACCGATACTAGAGATGAGGCGTTAGAGTACAAGAAGGAATCCGAAACTTTACTAGAATCTCAAAAAGCAAAGTACATGAGTCAGATCTCCATTGAGAGGGAGACACACAAGAATAGAGTCCACCATTTAAAGGGAAAAATCCAAATCCTTCAGAATGAACTCAACACCAAGGTGCCTGATTTGACTCAAGCGCTGCAGCTGATGCAAAACTCGTTTGAACAACTGAAGCAGCAGAGCTCTGAGAAGATCGCTGAACAGGCCACGCAACTTAAGCAGAAAGGAAAATTTATCAATGACCTTCGCAAACATACTGAGATACGGCTTAAATATACAGAGTCAAAAGTGAGAGAGGAAACTGAGGATATCATTAATAAACACCTTGATCGAATCAACGTGTTGGAGAAAGATGAAAAAGACTATGAGGAGGCTTTCAAGCAACTAGAAAGAGAAATTGAGAATCTTAGACAGGATAGTAAACATAAATTAAATATTATCCGTACGCAGGAAAAGCAGACGAAGATGCTTAGGAAAGACATTAGGACAATAAATGGCAAGTTGGAGGTAGAACAGGCCTTCAATGTAAAGATGGAATTGAAAACCACTGAAACTATAAAAGCACTGAGCGATTTAAAGATACTGCGCGAGAAGGATCAGGAGAAGATGAAACAGGTGGCCAAAGAATTAGGAACCGCAAAGAATAGCATTGCTCACCTGAATGAAATTATATATGGTAAAAACACACAGATAAAAAACATAGAATCGACAATTGAGGGGTACAAAGACAATTGTCAATTTCTGAAACAAACGATTCGAAAATACAAGTACTCTTTGGACGACTGCAGACATTGCTTAGATGACCATAAAAGGCTGAAACTCAAAGTGTCAAAGATGATAGGTGAATATTTAAATGGCTACACAAAGCCAACGGTAGATGAAGACACCCAGAATAAACTTAAATATATGGCAAATGTGATAAAAAAACAAGCCGAAGTCATAGAGAAGGGCAACGAAAGGTCTGCTGCAACCCTTCTGACTGTTAAACAAGGATTTGACAAAGAAAGGCTAAAATACACAGCTATAATCAATGCAAAGTGTAAGGAAAGTGTCACAAAGAACGTCGAAAAAACAAATCAACCACTTCAATTTTAAACATGTTCCAAACTGGACTAGTTTCCAGCTCCATGCGCGCTAATATCGGAAACGTCAAGCACAGTACACACAAAAACGCACAAATACTGGGTACACTAAAACAAAACCTCTGACCACCTTAGATAACTATTGGGTAACGCTAAGTATGTATAGATAGGCATTTTTCATGTTTGTCAATATATTTTCCCCAAGAAATTATATTTTGCACTTTCTTAAACTTGTTCTGAAATATGTTTAAGAAAGTGTTTAGTACACAAAGAACATAGATAATGCATAATATACAGTATGTATTCTTTATGTCTTTTTGGGTCCCCTTTTAAAAGGAGTACAACCATGGTTTCACTGTAGATAGATTTCAACACTGATCTCCAAACCTGATACATACACCACAACATGAATTCAGTTTTCAGAACTGGACTTTTGCTGTTGTAAATCCTCAGGTCTGCAGGACAGGGTTCAGATAATCTTTTAGATTTCCACCCGCAGAGATGATGTGAGTGTTGTTCTTCGGGAGCTTTTACAGAAGAAGAGGTCACTAGATTCTGGGTTAGTATCATCCATCCATCCATTCATCCATCCATTTTCTGCTCTTTAATCCATTTCTGGGTCAGGGGGGTGGCAATCAGAGATGCCACCCAAGTCTCACAGCACCAGCCCCTCACTGACCCTCTGCAGGTGGTGAGTCCACAGGAGGACAACTGCTCTCTGAGTGTGAGCATAGCCTTGATCTTTCAGTGGGGGCTTTTTGGGCAAAGTGGGGTTAAGTGTCTTGCCCAAGGACACAACGACAGCAGTCATCAGTGGGAGAAGGTGCAGAGGTGGGAATTGAACCCACAACCTTCTGGCCTTAAGGCCAATGCTCTACCAACTGAGCTACTGTCGCTGTTAGTATCAGTATGCTCAATATTGGCACAATCTGGATTATTGGTAACTACTGTTGTGCTGTGGAAGCTTTGAAGATTAAAGGAATAGGCCACCGTTTTTACATACTGACATATGTTCTTACCTTACCTTAGACTAGTTGATATGTACCTGTGTGATCTTTGTCCGTGTGCTCTGTCATGCAAACAGAGCACAAACGCAGCCTCTTCCACATACTGTATAGTTCCAAATCAGCTCCCGTTAGAAGCTACCAAACTCTTCCACGTGTTCCCTATTTAAATACAGTTACGTGACGTGTTACACTACAAAGCAGGGGTCACCAACCCTATGCCCGCGGGCACCCGGTCGCCCGTTGGTTCCTTCCCAGTCGCCCGTGGGACTAGTTCTAAAAATAGTAAGTCAGTCTGAATTTTTTTTATTTTTTCTTATCTACGCCTTATGTTATTTATTTTTCAAGTTAAAATATTAATATATGCTATTACTTAAGTAGTAATCTTAATATAAATGTATAGTTGCATGTAGGTCATAGTTCATCAGTCACCTGCGCGTGACAATTAATTCTGCTTTTGCTAGCTAAATACAATTATCATAAAAACCATGGCTGAGAAGAGAAAAAAGACCTATGCTTTTAACCAAGACTGGGAAGAGGAGTTCTTTTTTATATCGATTCGGGATAAGTGCGTGTGCCTTATTTGTGGAGCAACGGTGGCGATTTCAAAGCGGCACAATGTGGAGCGTCACTATCAAACCACTCACGTTAGCTTCCACCAAAACTTTCCCCCAAAGACTGCGCTTCGGGCGGAGAAAGCGCGTGAGTTAAAGGCGCTAAACCCGTTTCTGGAATGTTTGAATGTTTAGCCCCGCCCCCAACTCGCTCACAGGCTTCTCATTTCCCCTACGCTCTCATAACACGGAGCCACCTAGTTTTATTTGCGATCTGATACGTATGCTAACATTAGCATTAGCGCAACTTGTAAGCTGTGCAACAATCACTGATGAAATGGTACTAAAGCAACGCACTGCTGACACAATATATAAGTAAAAGAATACCATTAGTTTCGCGTCCGGATTTAAACATTAGAATATATTCTAATATTTAATTATAATGTATTATACAGCTCCTCACAGCAGCAGTAGAACACGCCATTGACTTGAATGCAATTCTTCCGATCATTTTTTCTTGATAACAGAACTCTCAAACCAATAATGACCGCAGCCCCAATGCAATCTGTTTGTAATTCAGGTGTGTAAAATACTAACATTACTTTGCAAGTACAACAAGCTATCAGCTCATGTCACTACATTGTGCAGTTTTTCTGCACACTTGTCTGTGTAGAGAAGCTAGCGGAGCTAGCCACGCTCAATAAACAAATACATATCAATCAATCAACACCATTAAACGTTGATCGGACAATACAGTATACATCCTTAACACACATGCACGGACGATTTCAAAATTTGCTGTCAACGTTTTCATGAAAAAAATACTGTTTTAAAGTGACAAAAAGCGATCGCGAAAAACCCGGAAGTTACCATGACACAGCTAGCTAGCTTAGCTGTTACCTGCCTAGCACGTCCCAGTGAAACCTTTGGGAGCTAACTATTTTATTTGCAGTCATTAAATATATTTCGAATTATAAGAGCTGTCTAATATTTGTTCGAATATATATATTTTATTTTTATTTTAGAATTATATTCGAATTTTGAAGTGGAAGCCCTGGTGTTAAGCAGCGCTGTAGAGGCTAGAGGACACAGGCTGTAGAGACTAGAGGACGCAGGCTGTAGAGGCTAGAGGACACAGGCTGTAGAGGCTAGAGGACACAGGCTGTAGAGACTAGAGGACACAGGCTGTAGAGACTAGAGGACACAGGCTGTAGAGACTAGAGGACACAGGCTGTAGAGACTAGAGGACACAGGCTGTAGAGACTAGAGGACGCAGGCTGTAGAGGCTAGAGGACACAGGCTGTAGAGACTAGAGGACACAGGCTGTAGAGACTAGAGGACGCAGGCTGTAGAGCCTAGAGGACGCAGGCTGTAGAGACTAGAGGACGCAGGCTGTAGAGGCTAGAGGACACAGGCTGTAGAGACTAGAGGACGCAGACTGTAGAGACTAGAGGACGCAGGCTGTAGAGGCTAGAGGACACAGGCTGTAGAGGCTAGAGGACACAGGCTGTAGAGACTAGAGGACGCAGGCTGTAGAGGCTAGAGGACACAGGCTGTAGAGGCTAGAGGACACAGGCTGTAGAGACTAGAGGACGCAGGCTGTAGAGGCTAGAGGACACAGGCTGTAGAGACTAGAGGACGCAGACTGTAGAGACTAGAGGACGCAGGCTGTAGAGGCTAGAGGACACAGGCTGTAGAGGCTAGAGGACACAGGCTGTAGAGACTAGAGGACACAGGCTGTAGAGGCTAGAGGACACAGGCTGTAGAGACTAGAGGACGCAGGCTGTAGAGGCTAGAGGACACAGGCTGTAGAGACTAGAGGACACAGGCTGTAGAGGCTAGAGGACACAGGCTGTAGAGACTAGAGGACGCAGGCTGTAGAGGCTAGAGGACACAGGCTGTAGAGGCTAGAGGACACAGACTGTAGAGACTAGAGGACGCAGGCTGTAGAGGCTAGAGGACACAGGCTGTAGAGGCTAGAGGACGCAGGCTGTAGAGACTAGAGGACACAGGCTGTAGAGGCTAGAGGACACAGGCTGTAGAGACTAGAGGACGCAGACTGTAGAGACTAGAGGACGCAGGCTGTAGAGGCTAGAGGACACAGGCTGTAGAGACTAGAGGACGCAGGCTGTAGAGACTAGAGGACACAGGCTGTAGAGACTAGAGGACGCAGGCTGTAGAGGCTAGAGGACACAGGCTGTAGAGACTAGAGGACACAGACTGTAGAGACTAGAGGACGCAGGCTGTAGAGGCTAGAGGACACAGGCTGTAGAGACTAGAGGACACAGGCTGTAGAGGCTAGAGGACACAGGCTGTAGAGGCTAGAGGACACAGGCTGTAGAGACTAGAGGACACAGGCTGTAGAGACTAGAGGACACAGGCTGTAGAGGCTAGAGGACACAGGTTGTAGAGACTAGAGGACGCAGGCCGTTCACTGCTCGTTCTGTGAGTGGAGGAGAACGTCCCGCTCAGACTCTACTCAGTACTTTTCACTGCCTGAATTTCATACATAGTGGAATCAATGACCTCAAGTTTTCAATTAAATTATGTATTATGATACAACTTGTATGTAGTAAAAAGCATTTTTATGAACTACTTAGAAAAAAAATCGGGTATAGCTTCTTTAAGTACCTCTGATATCACTATTGCATTGATATTGAGCACGAGGTATAACTTACTACTGTACTGCAGGAGCCAGATTCTCACTGCTATTTTAAAACAAAGAATTAGTGTTATAAAATACGCATGTAAGCAGACCTAAGCTAAATCCTCAGGTTTACCAAAATACTGCTGCTATATTCGTCACAAATGGTCCCTGTAAGCTTCGTACACGTCACTTTGCACATTCAAAAGAAGCAAAACACACGGGAAAGCCGGCATTTGGGGCCGCGAGCACTTGTGGCTTTGCTTGTTTGGTAATTAGTGAAGAAGGCACAAGAGATAAAACTGCCAGAATAAGACCATAAAAAGTCTCTTCCGAAAGTAGGCAGGTCCAGCAAAGACGGATGTGAACAAAAACGGGGTTACGGTCGGCTTCACTTGTGTCCATAGAAGCAAACAATAATTAAAAGTGATTTAGGAACAGCGCCCCCTATCCAAAGTCTTGATACCAGTCTTTTATAAAGTCTTTCTCTCTTGACAGTTTTTTTTGTTCATTCCTGGGATTGTGCAGGTAGTTTTTTTTATCTCCAATGAGGGACGAGCAGAGCCAGGAGTAGAGCGGAGAGCGCCAAAAGCAGACTGCCCCGCCTGGAGGCCGCGGCGTCGGACGGTCCCTTTGCCACTGGGACGAGGCGCGGGACCTGGGGGGTGCTGAAGTAGATGTCCTGGTCCGTAGTGCATGAGGGAGGGTCACAGCCGCTGCCGCTCTCCCCCTCCTCGTCCCCGCTGCTGGCCTCTTCGTCTGGACAGAACAAACACACACACATCAATCAATCTGTATTTGCTTCACAGTCAACATCATCATAATAATAATAATAATAATAATAATACATTGGTTTTTATACAGCGCTTTTCAGGAATAGAGTCACACAAGGCACAAATCTCACATAAAACAAACACCAAAATCACCATTATACACAAAACATTCAAATCACATGGGATTAAAATAATAAAAAAATAGATAAAATCCTTCAGTTAGAAAATCCTTCATGTATTAAAACGTAGAGAAACAACAACAACAATGACAAATGTAATAACTATAGAGTCTCAAAACAGTTGGGTCTGATTCACATGCATGTGTTTTAACCTCTGTCACAGCTTTACATCTGCTTTTTTACACAGAAAAGGTCAAAAGTCAATCAGGCTGAGCCCAAAGTGTCAAATAGTGACTCGCAGGGCTCTTACTTACACGTAATCACAAAAGATAACATGTTTTCTTATGAGATGAAATGATATGAAAAGGTTCTAACCCTGTTTCAACATTTCTCCCTCATCCAGAACATCCAGATCTGTGCATGCTAATTTCAGGAACTTCTGGTAGTACCATGTGTCCCTGTCCCTTCTGTGCCAACGCTCAAGTCTCAAACTTCTCTCCCGTACTCTATGATTTGTTTTCTGCCTCAAAATTAGTTTTGACAATTTCTCTGGTGGAAACACTTTCTTTACAAGCACATAGCAAGTTTTTTATTTTTTTATTTTTCCAGATTGTTATGTTTGATGTTGAAAAATAAAACAAAACAAAAGATATTCTACTTCTTTCAGGAGATAGCATTGAATATTGGGCGACACTGAGGACACTGCAGACTCTAAACTGCATCTCTGGTTTCCACTGACAACATACTAATCTTTCCATTTACACATTATAAATATAGAAACATTGCTCATTGCATATAGAGGATCGCCGGGGGCGATCCTCTCTCCCGCACACACCGTCTCTGGCAGCGTGGACCAGAACTTTTTAGCATGTTTCAGCCTCTTCTTCACATCCCCCGTCTGACAAAAACACATGGAGTGAGCATTTAAAGGGACGGACAGTGACGGTGAGAAAACAGCAGAGGAGGTGGCAGAGGCGTCCCGTGCCAACAGGCAAGGCAGGCAGCTGCCTGGGGCCCCCAAACCGGCAGGGGCCCCCGAGGGCCGACTGATTTGACACAAGCTGTCGACTTGTACAGGCCACAACAGGTACCTGCAGTGACGAGTTGCAATTTGACCGCCCGTCTCAAATCCCCTGATAGGGCCCCGCTCCTCTCGCCCCTCCCCCACATGTGTCAGTGACAGAGGTGAGCGGAGCGTGCAGGCAGCGTGCTATTTCTCCCAAAGCAAAACAAAGTTATCCGACCAAATGAAGAGAAGTTATCCTTCTGGAAAAGCGATAAACGAAAGCGCAAAAAAGAGGAAGACGAGAAAAGAAAGCATGATAGCGGTGAGTGACTGTCAGTTAGTTCATCTAGTCTACATGACGCTCTTGGAACTAAACTTGTTTGTTTGCGGATCACATCACAGCAACATTTAGCATGCTATTGTTAGCGTTTTGAAGGATTAATACACTTTGATAGCAGGTAGTGTTTGTAATTAATTATAACATGATGAGTGTAGTGAACAAGTTTATAAAAAGACATGCTAATTTATTTCTCATTGCTTTTCGTCACCAAATACTTTTTAAAATACTAATTTTCTATGGTAGACTGTGCAGTATGCCATGCAGGCCCGGCTTGTACATTTATTGTTAGAAATAAGAAATTGTCTACATTTTAATGTTAATGTAAACAATTAATAGATGTTGCATTTTTACTTACTAAATTATATATATTTTTCCCCTTTTGCTCAGGATTGCTAAGAAAATTTTTAGTTCCCTCATCTTCTTCAAATCAGGAACATGCTGCTAGTTGTAAGTACTTTATCTATATATAATCTTACTTCTAAAGATATTTTATCAAAATACATTACGACGTTAATGCCATGTTTGATTTCTCTTTATCTTTAAGCTCAGTCTGCCGCTACACACACTACTACAGTCCCAAGTACTGCCACGCCAAGGTTTACTGCCCCCTCTACAGCCCTGGACAGCAGCGCTTCCTCCAGTGAGCAGCAGTCAGCTATATCCCGTACTGCAATGGTCAACATTTCGTCGCCTACCTCCATTGACCAAGAGGACCAAACAGAACCACAAGCACCCACTCCAGGTATGATATTAGTGCAATAATGTATTTAGTTAAAAAAATGCTTGAATTTTACACACTATGGCCCTTTGTAGTATCTACCATATCTATAATTTCAAACAAATATAAGAGTTATACTTGAAAATAAATCAATATCTAAGTTGGTTTGTATTTTGAAGATGTGTAAATTAAAAATACATAAATAGTAATGTAAATATGGACATAATTAGCAAGCCATCTTTAGCAACAATTGTAATTGTAAAGGCTGTAAAAAGAGACTAAACATAGTGTTTGTTCAAGTAATGATATCACATCAGGATTATTTATGGTTATTGTGTTTTTCTTTTGAGAATTCATGTGTTTTTTTTAATTGGTTTCAGCTCAAACGACATCCACAGACCAAGAAAAAGCAACACCAATAAGATTGACATCTTCTGATCCTGGACAGTGGCCTGATGTTCTTAATGATGGTGAAAAGAGTTCCCTGGTGAAAAAAGGTCCTCTTCAGGTGACGGATATTGTTTTTCCTCAAAGCAATGAACAAAATCCTCGGAGATTCACAAAGGAAAATTATTACATGGTCATGAGAAATGGTGAAAAAATAAAGCGAACATGGCTAGTATATTCAAAATCCACCGATTTGCGGTCGTTTTGCTTTGCTTGCAAAATATTTGGCAAAAAGGACAATAATGCTCTAACTAAAGGAGGGTTTAAAAACTGGAAAAACCTTGTTGCACATTTAAAAGAGCATGAATATTCCAAACCCATATAAATAACATGAAAAGTTGGCATGAGCTCCAGATAAGGTTAAAAACAAAATCTGCTCTAGATCAAATACACCAGGATCTATTGCACCTTGAGGAGCAGCTCTGGAAAACAGTAATCCACAGGATTATTGCTATAATATGCAAGTTCTACAAAGAAGTATTGTCACAGAGTTGAGAACCTATAAGCGTTATTGTTTAGTTGTTAATTATTTTTTCATAATATTGTTGTTCCGCTGATCTTTGTTGTTAGTATTTTGTCAATTCTGTTTCAACTTTATGATGCAAAATAAATAATATTTATATACTGCAGTATTAACCTTTTTATGTGGTTATATGGTCTGTATCGGGGCCCCCAAGGACTCTTGCCTGGGGCCCCGGGGTACCCTTGGAACGCCACTGGGAGGTGGCTCTTACCAGTCGGTCTAAGCTGGTGCCTGCGGCGGTGGTGGGTCTGGCGTCAGGACTGTAGGGTCTGAAGCGTCCTGTAAACGCCGTCTCTTTGATGGATCGCTTGGTTCTGAAGGCCATGCTGGGTTTGGGCTGCCCACAACCCTGGAACACCTGAAAGAAGAGACACAAGAGAAAGAATGGGACGAGAGTAACCACATGAACGACCAAAATACGCAAAAAATCCAAGTCCTGAACATATAGATCTATTGTTGCCACGACAACAACACAAACAACACTGTCTGAGCTAAACATGTGTTATTTACTCTTGTTGGTAACATTAAGACCGATTTATTTATGGATGTTTGTGTGGATGGATGTGTTTCTTCTGCTGGACTATCTATAATGTCATTATGAAACTACTTATTTTGGGTGTTTTGTGTGTGAAATGTGTGTACACAGGTTTGAATAATAAAAGTGGGCGGTACCTTCTGGGAGACTTGCATGCTGTTCTCCTGCATGTTCATGATGGCCTCAGAGATCTTCACGTCGATGGGATCCATGACCGACTCGAAGTTAAAGGGCCCCTCCAGACGATCGGCCAGGTTCAACATGGCGTCTGCAAAATTACATTCAGGAAACATTAGAACAGGGAACGCCAACCTTTTCTATCAGACAGCTACTTTTACAAAACAGACATGGCTTTTGTGGTGATAATAATAATGTCTTGATAACATTTGTTTTCAAGACAACGCTATATGTCCAATTCAAAACATGTCATATCTGTATTCATTCCAACTCATACTGTTTTATTTTTAGTTTATTTACATTTAATTTGGACATATTTGTGGATTCGCTGAAGAAAATGAGTAGACACACATCACGGCCACCAGAGGGAGCCACAGCTTTTCATTTAAACCCAATTTCTAGGCCTTGAAGTTCGGGATTTTGCAAAAAGCAGATGTCAGAGGAGCTGACAGTAGCAGAGAGAGAGATGGGTGATTTCAACCGAGCGGAAAACTAGAAACAGATTTTTATCCGTGGACTTTGTCATATAAAATAAAGAACATATCTTTATTAAAATACTACATCTCTTTATCCTCCTCCGTTTCTACAAATGAAAACGATATGTGTTCCAGTGTTTACCACACAAAGGCCTTCATAGTTTAGGCCCCGCCCCTTCCTGTCCGTTTAAACCAATGACAGAGAAGACGGGACGAGTTTGGACAAGATTTTTACACAATAAGCACTGATTCTATGGAGTTTATGAGACAGAGCTGGAAGGAAAACAGGAGCAAATACAAGATCACAGTTACTGCCGTTTGGGCTGGTTAAATATAATGTGGAGCCAGATCAAATGTAGATCGGACAGATACTGTGCTGACCTGAGGGAGAGAACGGGGCAAATAAACAAACCGTCTTATTATTGCAACGTAGTGAGAAATGACAATATTTGCGGACACATGTGAAAAGGGCTGCAGAGGCTAAAGTCCAAAGTCCAGCAGCAGTAAAAACATCATAACATAACCATCTATGAACCAAGAGGATAAATATGATCCTGTACTTGCCCTATTGTGCTGCTGTTAGATGATAAACTGCATTTCCCAGCTTTGATTTCACTTTTTAACGACAATAAAGTTGAATCTAATCTAATTGTAATTTTAAAAACATGTATATTTCAGGCCAAAGGACACTGTACTATTATATACATACATAGATTATTTATTTTTAGGAGCAGGGGTTTCAGTGGAGATGTTGAATTATTCAGATAATTCTACATGCATTATCCTTTCTTATCCAGTTATCCAATATCCCTCTTTTTCCAAGTATTACTTAAAAGGTTGTCATTCATTTTAAAATGTTTATGATTGAATCATTTTGTAAAATGTAAAGTAAATCAGTGGTGTATGCTTTAAGTAGTGATGGTAATATGAAGCCTTATGAAGCATTGAGGGTTTGCAGCGATTCATGCTCCACTACGCCATCATGTGGACAAAAATATAACACTCTTAAGTGCTTACAATGAATGGTGGGGTCTAATATTGATATTGATATTTACAGTCTTTGGTCTAAACATGTTGTGTTTTAAATGATGCTTCATGAATATGAACTATTTGAGTCTTTCAGTCAATTGTGTTGATACAACAAACATATTGCATCCAAGCAAAGCAGTTTTAGAAAAAAGTGTTTAATTGAAGAAAACACCCCATTAGCTGGATTCATTAATCACACACAAACCATATATTCCCAGTAATTTAAATTATTTACTTTGCAAATGTAAAACTGATTCTGAGTTGATTGGACTCGAACCACATAACTCTGATCCCAGAGCACAGCAATTACCGACTACGCCACGAATCTATTTGAAAAGATTCCAACAAAAACCAGTTTGTTCACCTGAGACTAAAGTGAAAGTAAAGCTGTGTTAATATTTACCGTCTCTGGAAAGATTCAACTAAACCCTGCGTCGTCAAGATCCTTTTGGGGAGAACGCGTCTCTGGCCACGTCTGCGTAAGTAGAATAGTAGTTTATATTTAGTTCAGATGAAGAGAAAACATCTTTATAAGCTTTATTTTCCTTCACCTTTGACCAGGCCGCTCCCGTTTCAGTCTACGCACTTTTTATTTAACCCTGGGCTTTTAAAACTACAAATATCTTCACAGTTCATTGAGATTGAGGCCCATTGAGTCACTTTTACTCCTCTTTAATCAGTTTTTCGTCGTCGTTTTCCAACAAACAGTAAAGTTAATCGTCACAGGCCGCTCCCATTTCTTCTCAGGACCTACGCACTTTATTTTCCTACAGTATGTCTGGCTTTTTAACCACTGACTCTTCCTCATGCTGCACTTGCTAAAAGGTTCATACGAGTTTACATGTATTCTGACCTGTTTGCTTTATTACAGGTCTCTGAGTCTCATTTTCACATCTCTCATGTTAAAATGTGCTCGGATGAAAACGCTCAAATCAAATCGTGTTTTCCATTTGTTTTTCTTGCAGCCCTAGTTAATTACGTTACATTTATTTTTGTGTAGCTCTAAATTAAACAGCAGTCGTCTCAGAGGACTTTTCAAAGTTGTTGATTCCTCCACATCAGAGAATCAAGTTCAATCCCAGGAAATGCAATAATAACAAAACACAAAGCATTGGTCCAGAGGGAACGGGTTGAACAATGTCCATAAATATCTTTAAGTGACCCGGATCTTTCACTGTCCTCTGCATCGGCAAAGAACAACTCAGATTCCTGTGGGGGAAAACCCTCGGGGAGGCCCTTAGATCCAGGACTGAGGCTGTAGATCCAGGACTGAGGCTGTAGACCCAGGACTGAGGCTGTAGATCCAGGACTGAGGCTGTAGAGGATGTATCCTACCCATGCCGGACGTCCAGTTGTACTGTTCTTTTAATGATTCTGAGTTCCTGCGATTGTCATCATTTTTGGAGTGTGTGTCCTCCTGAGGCTGTAGATGAAACCCAGGACTGAGGCAAATGTAGACCAGGCCATGTCTATGGAGACTCCGTAACTGCTTTTTTCACCTTAGGAACATTGCAAAAATCCGCAATATGTTGTCAAAGAATGATCTGGAAATGATCATTCACGCTTTTATTTCAACAAGACTTGACTATTGCAACTCTGTTTTTACCTGCTTGAATAAGTCTGCACTCAATCAACTTCAAATTGTTCAAAATTCTGCTGCTAGACTTTTAACAGGTGCCCCTCGTAGGTCCCATATCACTCCTGTTCTGCCTGTTCTTCATTGGCTCCCAGTCAAATTCAGGATTGATTTTAAGATCTTAGTGCTGACCTTCAGAGCCTTAAATGGTCAGGCCCCCCAGTACATCCTGAACCTTTTGAGCCTGTACTCCTCTGGCCGTTCTCTCCGGTCCTCTGGCCAGAACCTGCTTGTGGTCCCCAAAACCCATTATAAGACTCGAGGGGACCGTCTTTTCAGTCTGTTGCCCCCAGACTGTGGAACGCCCTGCCCCTGTCCCTACGTCTGGTCGACTCTGCGGACTCTTTCAAAAAAGGCTTGAAGACTTATTTATTTAAGAAAGCTTTTAGTTGATTGGGTTCTCACTGATGTCACTTTTAAGTACATAAAATGTGTAATGTGTGTAAGTGTATTTTATATTGTTTTGTATTTGCCCACTGTCCTGCTGTACAGCACTTTGTGATTTGAGGGCGTAGATCTCAGGACTGTATGCCTTGTAGATCCAGGAACTGAAGACTGAAGATCCAGGACAGAGACTGGTAGATCCCCGACTGAGCTGTAGACCCATGACTAACTGTAGACCCAGGACTGAGGCTGTAATCCAGGACTAGAGCTGTAGACCCAGGACTGAGGTCTGAAACCCAGGACTGAGGCTTATACCCAGGACTGAAGCCGAGACCCAGTCTGAGGCGTAGACCCAGACTGAGGCGTTGTAGATCCAGACTGAGGGCTGGAGATACCAGGACGAGCTGGAGACCCAGGCCTGAGGCTGTAGACCCAGGACTGAGGCTGTAGATCCAGGACTGAGCTGTAGATCCAGGACTGAGGCCGTAGATCGCAGAGACTGAGGCTGAGATCCAGACTGAGGCATTAGACCCAGGACTGAGGCTGTAGATCCAGGACGAGGCTGTAGATCCAGGACTGAGGCTGTAGACCAGGACTGAGGCAGTAATACCCAGGACTCTGAGCTGTAGACCCAGGACTGAGCTGTAGACCCAGGACTGAGCGATAGATCCAGACTGACTGAGGCTTGAGCTGATCCAGGACTGAGCTGTGACTTGAGGCTGTAGACCCAGGACTGAGGCTGAGGCTGAGGCTGTAGACCCAGGACTGAGGCTGTAGATCCAGACTGAGCTGACCCCAGGACTGTAGGCAGTAGACCTAGGGAGCGTAGATCCTGGACTGAGTCAGTAGATCCAGGACGAGGCTGAAGGACTGAGCTGTAGACCCAGACTGAGGCACTGAGGCTGAGTTATGAACTATAGATCCCCACTTAGCTGTAATTCCTGAAGGCGTTTGTCATTCAATTCCCTCCTTAGTATCACAGACCTCTGCTCTCTCTGTGCACTGCATACATTTTGGGGATAATGGATCCCTCTCAGTCCTTGGTGCAGATCTCGGCCCTGATTGAACTGAACTCTGTGTCGCTCTGAGGAAGAATCTGAAGGTTTTGTTAACTTTAGTGTTCACTTTGTCTTTTATGTGCATCTTCTTACTTTTGTATTCGCTCGTCATTCTCCTTCAGTTTTCACAGATACATTTCTTTTCTTCAGAAGGACGATGAACAAACCTGGATCTAAAACCAAAACAAAATCTAGACCGCTTCTATTCCCACTGTGAGTCTCTGAAGAGCAAACGAGCCCAAAGAGGCATAATCGACTCTAAAAGGTTTGTCTTTCTTCCTGAGTGTGTGCTCCGCTGTAACAACGCTCGAACATATCTGTTTGACTGTTTGGACTCAGACATCACCTGGATTTCAAAGGGTTGTAGATGTAACAAATGTGAGATGGGGCCTCTGTCCTGCTCCAATCAGGCAGTTTTAGTCCCAAAAGTCTCGTCTGTGTGTTCTCGCTTCTGGTTCTCCTGTCTGCTCTGGGTCGAGGGGCCCCAGTGCCCTGTCTCAGGG